TTTTGTTTTTTCCAAGAATCTAATTATCAGTAAGTTGATAGTTATAATCAGGCAAAAAGTAAAAACACTCTTTGAAATATAAATGGCCCCCAGTGAAGTTAAGGTTGTTTTTGCCTTGGTTTGATACTGTTTTCCTAGCCATCTGAATCTATTTAATTATAAAATAAATATAGGTGGTAGAGATTAAGTGCTACAACTTTATTTTATTTTTTTTTAAGTTTTAGCTTAGTACTTAGGTTTGAGCTTTCTCTCCCACTGTTGTTGTTTGTTGTTGTTAATGTGCCGTCGAGTCGGCCCCGACTCATAGCGAAATAATGACAATCTCTAAACTGAATTGTAGTTTTCCTTTTACATTGCTTATGTTAGCAAGACTAAATTTGCCCCTAATTTGCTCAGGGGTCTGCTAAAATAAACTGTAATAACTTCTATCTTTCCCAGTCCAGTTAAAATCACCTTCTTCCCGATTCTTGTTAAGAAGTTCTTTCAAAGTGTTTTCTAATAAACGGGAATCTGTTCCAGTTTCTTCCTTTGACAAAATCACACTGAATGGTTTGTAGACTTCTCCATCTGCCTCAGTAACACCATTATTGGCCTGCTGCCCATCGAAGGTAACTGTTGATGAGGCTGAATAAATATTTCCTAAATGGTCCATTACGGGAAGCAAATATAATTCTGGTTGAAGAGCCTAAAACACAAGAAAATTTGAGAACCTAGTTTGTAATTTTTTTTTTTTTCAAGTGTAACTTAAAAATGATTACCACAAGTTAAAAGTATCACATTACATACATATGGAGGTGCAAATGATTTGAGTTTCAGTTCTGATTCTTGCTTTGCTTTCACCTAAAATTAGAAAAAAACAAAAGCTTTTGCAACATTTTTTATTGTTTGTACCTTCACTTTTTTTTGCAGAAGGCATACACCTTAGCTAAATATAAAAATTTAAAAGCTAGTAACTAAGATTGGATTCTAGAAAATGTAGAATATAATCTTATTTAGACTTACTATATCAAATATAATAGAAATTATTTGCTTTTAATAATAGTTATTATTAGGGTTATCATTTGCATGGATTCACTCTATGCCAGGAACTATTCTAAGTGCTTCAAACACATTAGTTCATTTAAAACTCACAACTCTATGTGATAGGCATTATGACTATCCTTAATTTACATGCAAGGAAATTGAGGGGTTAAATAAATTCTCAAAGATTTTATAACTAGGAAGCTTCCAGGTTCAAATTCAAAACCAGGTAATCTGGCTTCAGAGGTCAACCTTGTAAAGTTTGTTGTCTATATATTCTGTCCACAGAATTAATCTGTTATTTACTTACGCATTTATGCACACTATGTTTCAGGCAATGTTGTACATACTGGGGATACAACGATAAGACAGAATTACTATTCCAATGAAGCTTACATTCTTCCTGGTTATTTAGGGTTATGATAAGTGCTTTATGAAAATAAAACAGTGATATAATAGAAAGTAAGGGGGAGAAAGAATATCTACAAATAAGGTGGTCAGGGAAAGCTTTTTTGAACAGATAATACAGAATTGGGAACTGAATTATGAAAAGAAACCAGCCATGTGAAAATCAGGAGGAAGTGATGTCTGGGCAACAGTACAGATAATAAATGAGAAATGAACTTGCCATATTTGAGAATGAAAGGAAGATATTTATGGCTGAAGTGGGGAAAATGGTAGTAGGTGAAATCTGAGAGGCAGCCATACCTTAAGTTCTCCTTACCTCTTACCCGAACCTCTGCAAAAGTCTCCTAACTGCAATCCCCTGTCTTAAGCCTCTTCCCACATCAGTACATCCCTCTTGGCAGTACCCAATTTTTACTGAAGAGTATCATGTCATTCTGTTGCTCAACAACTCCAAAGTCTCAGAAAAAAATCCAAACTAATTAATCTGGCTTTCAAGACTCAACAAACTATTTTACAATTTATTTCCCACTATTCCTTTTCACATAGTCCATACTCCAGTAATAAATGAACCATTTACTCTTTCTCAATTATTTGCTTTCTCACTTATATGCTCATTCTATGTTTTTCTGCACACAAAGTTGTTCCTACCTTTCATCTTTGTAAGATCAAATATTCATCTTTCAAGAGCTAAACTGTAAATTACTTCTTTCTCCATCCCTTCTTTTCTTGCTGAAAGTAATCTCTTTTCCTCTGAATATTCAAAATACACTATTTAAAGTATTAATTTATATATTTTTTTCTTCACTACTACACTGAACATCTTTTAGGGCAGTATCTATGCCCAATGTTTTTTTCTAAGTTTGCATACAGAAAAACATCAGCTAATACTTATTGAAAATCAAAGAATATTATAAGGCTTAGAAGTTGGCTCTTATGGTCTTTTCCAACCTAGAATTCTGTGATCGATATGTTTTAAATGAGTACATCATGAACTAGAACAGAAAGTTTTTCCTTTTTCTCTCCATTTGAGGAAAACTAACTCAGTGATTAATAAGTTAATATTCCAGCAAACTAAATAAAACCTATAATGACAAATACTACTTCAAAATTAAATGTGGACTCTAAGAATATCACATAGAAAATTCTTCTATAGTAATAATTTTGAGGAAATGTTTGTATTGTCCATTATCATTCATAATTTAATTTATACGATTAAGATTTGGATGCCTGTATGTGTAAAATATCTTGTTAAGCACTGGTTATAAATATAATGGTGAATAAAATAAAGTCTCTGACCACAAAGAGATATAATCTAATGGTAGAGTTAACTATTAAAGAAATAATCATATAAATAAGAAAATAATTATTACATAATATATTAACTGGAGTGTCATAGCAATATATGCACTTTAAAGAGTTTAAATTTGGAAAAAAAATTAAAAATAAACCTTATATAGATATGAAAGCCACCACTTGTCTGTCAGTTTGTCATACTGTGGTAGTCTGTGTGTTGCTATGATGCTCGAAGCTATGCCATGGGTATTTCAAATACCAGCAGAGTCACCATGGTGGGCAGGTTTCCCATGGAGCTTCCAGAGTGAGACATACTAGGAAGGATGGGGCCATCCACTTCTGAAAAAATTGGCCACTGAAAACCTTATGGATTGCAGTGAAGCATTCTCTGGTATATTACTAGAAAATTTTATGAATAGCAGTGAAAAAATGTCTGATGTAGTACTGAAAGATGAGCCCCTCAGGTTGGAAGGCATTCAAAATACAACTTGGAAAGAGCTGCCTTCTCAAAGTAGAATCGACCTTAATGATGTAGATGGAGTAAAACTTTCAGGAACTTCATTTGCTGATAGGGGCATGACTCAAAATGGGAAGAAACAGCTGCAAACATTCATTCACAATTGGAATGTGGAATGTATGAAATATGAATCTAAGAATACCAGAAGTTATAAAAAATGAACTGGAATGCATGAAGATTGATATCCTAAGCATTAGTGAGCTAAAATGGACTGATATAGAACATTTTGAATCAGAC